TAATCTAGTTCTTTCTCTTTGAACGTGTTTGAAAAAAGAGAATTTAAAAAAATTTTTAGAAAGTTTTTTCTTACCAATCCTCTATGAATGGATTTGGCTTTGTAGTGAAAAAAAGGGCTGAAGAAATTTTGTCGCAATTTCACGAAATTACGTGCGAGAAAATGAAACTAAAAGTAAAGACAGGTTTGCATGCACATTTATCGCGAGCGCAAGACATGTAATACCTTGCTCCGACACGATGTTTCTGACGTGAGGCGAGACAAACAAGGCGCGGGAAGCGTCGGTGAAAAAGAAATTTGCGTGTATCGAAGACGAGCCACTTTGGAGCATCATCAACGAGAAACACACACGCCGCGTCGGTGTTTCTCGGCGAGTGCATTGACTCGTGAAAGAGGCGCGTCATCGTCTGGAGAACGAAATTTTTCAATCGATGACGCTCATCTCGAACCTCTTTACGCTACCACGTAAATATTCCGAGCACGCTTCAGATCCATGCGAGGCACAACAGTATTTCACGAACCAAAAACCTTTTTCAGCCGTTCAAAAAATAACTTGAACATCTCGCTTTTAATCTTACGACAATACTGAAGATTTCATCCGCGAATATATCGTGTGGCAGATGAGGTTCTCTGATCTGAAATTGAATCTAACATGACGTTGATTGAATTTATGGATTTAAATATTTATTATCTACTATTTTATCATTTATTTTACATAATACATAATTTAATATCCAAATATTATTTGAACATATTTTGCTTTTTATTTGTCATTTTATCCAGATTCTAAGCTTTTAAAAGATGTAAAAAAAAAAAAAAAGAAGAAAATGACCTTTGACATGTTTTCTAGCAAAGAAATAACGATAATAATAATAATATAATTTCATTCAGAACATAAAAAAGGCTCGCCCTCATAGATAAACATTAATATTAAATTATAAAATTACTCAAATGTATAAAATATTCAAAATGATAAAATAGTAAATATTAAATGCTTGATATTAAAATATTTCCAAAGTAGCCTTCTTCCTCGCGACAGAATTATTTTCTTCGTCTCAAAGCAAAACATCCCATCGTGTCGCTGTCCCTATAAATATCTGCTTTCTTGACGTTTCGTTGCAACGCGTAAGTCCCGCTAAATCCCGTCGAAGTTATCGCTGCGAAATCGAAACGCGACTTGACGCGTTGTGTACGTTGAATCAACGAGGTAGCCCAGTTGGCCAGACGATCGTTAAAACACCCGGCAAGAAGCAAAAAGGAAAGAGTTTCCTTAACCGGGCGGAGATCTGTTGAGACGAAGTCGATAACAGGAGTGACGGGTCATTAATCGAGCCGCCGATCGATTCAATTACCACGGGCGTTTTTGATCGTGGCGCCACGTGGAAGGAAGTTTCGAAAGTCGGTGTCGAAGCTCGCCACGGCGATTCAGGTCGTGTCGGGGCGGCGGGCTAAGTTAATTACTACAGAATTAATGTGGACCGACGGCGTTAATCCAGGCACGGCACGCGAGCCAATCAAGAGAGGGGCCAGATAAGAATTAAACGGTATCGAGCGTAGACGCGGCTCGTTAGTCGGACACCCCCGTGTCGAGCATAAATTTTCACCAGATATATAAGCCTTGTTCCGTTTCGCGCCGGACCCTACGTATGTATGTATGTATGTATGTATGTATGTACGTGGCATCGAATATCGTATCGAATCTCGACGGTGTATGGCAGCACAGTCGTCCCCCGAGTCACGCGTATTTCAATTGAAATCCCGGTTATTCATCGATATTATTGTATGCTGGACAAGCGTGCGCGTGACACGCATACGTTACCTTTTTATATCGTCTCCCATCGTACCTCAAAGCCTCGTATGTGTACGCGTTTATCTGTTTTTCTGGCCCCTAGTTGCCCGAATAATATCAATAGTCGACGTTCCCGCGAATATCTTGTTTTATTTTTTTGTTTACGTACGACACATATTGATTCGTGTAGTATTGAAATATCCTAAAATTCCTGGGAAATTTTACTCGTACATTTTTTTTGTGACAATTTGGAGAGGGAAATGTAAAAGCTCGACTTTTTGAACAAAATTTCACTTCTCGACAAGTCCCTTTAACGATTTAACTGATTTGGTATAAAATACCAGAGATTTTTAGATTCTTTTGGGGATGAAAAGCATTAGAATTGAACGTTTTTCTAGCATCGTGTCTTTAAAGTCACGTGAAATTACAAGATCTAGCATACTTGGATGTAATTCGTTATTATGTAAAAATGCCACGTTTCGTTATCGGTACGTTTCATAGCCACTGTACACACGTAGACTGTTCATTACCAGCAAAATTTATAAATCGTTGAAATTGTACTAATTTGATCTAAGTACCCTGCTCTAAAGTAGTAAAACAACCTCAATCTATACTTTTCATCGGGTTAAATTCGGTTTCGTTCAATTACTGCTCTAAAGTCGATGGCAATCGTGTTTGTCGCGTTTAAACGATGGCGAATAGGTTGGCCGGACGTATTACTAGCAAGGTAATAACGGTGTTCGGTTAATCGATCGTCGGTCTCGATCACTATAATTTTCTGATTTTTTTTTTTTTCTTTCTTTCTTTCTTTCCTTCTTTCCAACAGCAAGGTCTGCGCGTTCGCCGGCGAAGCCGCTAGGTGGTCGATTGGCTAATCATAATGATCGCACGATGAATAATGACCTCCCAGTTTCAATAGGAAGCCCCTACCAAGCGTTACGACTTGATCAATTTCCACCGGGAATTATAGTCTCTGAATATTTTGAAACTTTCTCGTTCAATCTCTTTAACGATCGCCATCTCGGTACGATTGTACGCCAGTAAACGCCCAACTTCTTCACGGGATCTTAATGATCCCTTTGTGGCCTAATTAATAATCGTCGAACTTCGAACGCGCTGAGAACGCAATGATCTCTTTCGTTTCTTTTTTTTAATAAATCGTACAGAGGCCGAGAAACGTTTTGAAATCGTTGCAAGCCTGACATCACTATTTACTATCCTATTTCTCTAATCAGAATACTTTCCTTTTTTTCGAGACATTCGGCAGACTTACGATTCGTTTTATTTCGTGAAATACCGTATTTTGTATTTTAGTAATTTTAAAGGACGGATTTTTTTTTTTTTTTTTATTGAAATCGTTTGCGTTTACAATGGTTTACAATGGCGATACAGTTGTTTGTGGTGTAACAATTGTTACAATTGAAACGAAAGTGATGGGAAAATTGTTTCAGCGCGCGTACTCGAAAGAAATATTTTTCTATTTGAAGCATTTAGAACGAACGTTTCTCCTTCCTCCCCTCTGCCCCTCCAATGGAAACAACGCGAGACAAAACGAAATTGAACGAATGTTGTTCCGCTGAAATGATTTTTACCAGTTCAGACAACTATGCGGATGGAATCCCTTTCCGGGGAGCTTAACGAACTCAGGGTTGAAAAATGTTTCGGAGTCTAATCGTGCCGACTAATAACAAGCCAGTAAATAGAACGTCATGATCGTAAAATCAACGAGGCAAGGGGTATCTTTGCCTCGCAGTGCGCTAATCTCGAAGCGTACGAGTTCATTTTCTGGAGGCCTGAGGCGCCTATCGTTAACCTTTAATTACAGGCCGTCCTAGGCGTCTGAATTTATCGCTAATAACGCGTTAGAGGCGTTAGACCCGATTTCCCGTGACATTTCTGTTACGAACCAAGTAACTCCTCCTCATTCTCGTTATCAAACGCCGAATTCATCAACTTTCTAAACGATTTGATCAGAGTAATGTTACGAAAATATTGTCAAATTGTATTAAAGTAATATGATTGAATTAAATATCGAAATATAGAGACAATTAAATGAAAAATAATATAAATACAGATCTTATTTATCAGGAAATAAAATTCCGCAATTAATCGTATGCAATGTATAAAGTCTCGCTCAAAAGTCTTGGGATACTTTTGTTTTCAATACTCGGTACCCATTATAGATTATCGTGTACGCACATTTTATAATACAGTATAATACGATGTATCTACATAATAATATAACAGTACAATATATATAATGTTAAAATACCTAAATAATATATTAATATATCAATAGAACCTTTTGTATAAAGTACGTATTTATTCTATTCACATTTATTGTATTATTTTTATTGTATGTAAATATAGTACTTGTTCCAAGATTTCTGGACATTATACAATTTTTCAATCATGTAATTCCAATAATCTACGTGACAAAGTATGACTAATGATCGCGAAATCACGGTTAAATTACTTCAATGAGAACTCAGCACGCAACCAGCGCGCAGTAGTAAAAAAAAAAAAAAAAAAAAAAATAGAACGTCCGACTTCCGGCAGAGAGAGAGAGAAAAAAAAAGAAGTCAGTGCCACGAAATTCGGAATGAGACACGCTAAACGCGCGATGAAAAAGCGATCTCGGACTCGTTATAAAAGTTCCGCCTTGCGCGCTAATACCAGAAAGTGGGTATCCGTTTTTGGGCGGAAATGCGGCTACAATTAAATTGCGCGGTCCTCGTTCGTCCTCGTTCGTTCACGTTCGTCCTCGCAGAGTACGAACACGTACGTTTATCTCGGCGACACCGAAGGACCCGGAGCGCTTACACTTTTTCTTTTCATTACCGTGCGATCGATCGCGTCGAACGCGCGCAACTGTTCCAGACCAGACCAAAACAAAGCGACGGCATTTCCAAGAATCGTGTCAGGTTAAATTCCATTTCTCATAGCGTGCCTGGTTAAACATTTACGTTTACGATTTGCCCTCTGTTTCTCTGCAACGTGGAAGTCAATTACGTTTCTTGAAAAATGTAAAGACGTTGAAAATTAACTCTTATCGCTCCGACTGGCAAACGCAGGCCAGCTACGTTTTGTACTTGAAATCAATCTCGAGCGTTTTGATTGATGGACATTAATCGCGAATGTAAGATCTCGATAGCGTTAGAAATAATCGGGGATACGACTGATCTCTACTGGAGTTTTCGATATCGTTTCAGACGTGCCTGCTGGGCCCGGTGGTCAGCGACAACAGCACGATCGGCGACTCGACCATCGAGGACGTGTCAGAGGTCTCGGAAACTAACAGCAACCTCGACGCAGACTCCGGAGACCAAGTAAGTCAATTACTAAACGCTGTTCCCTTACACGAATCTCCAAACTCTCCGACGGATATCTTCACGAAGTTCACCCTCCCCTTCCGTTGAAGTTCGCTTCTTCGTAAATTCGGATCACCGGCGTTGCTACGGGACTACCTTAAACGTTCCCTAAATTCGGCGTGTACGTATAAATTTCGACCGTTTCCTATCCGCTCGTACTTGCGGATTTTCGAAAGAACAAGGGAGAAGGAGAACGTGCAGCCAGAGAGAGAGAGAGAGAGAGAGAGAGAGAGAGAGAGCTGCGGGAAAAATAAACACTTTTATTCATGCCAGCCAGCCGGAAATAGGTCGCTGAAACCGTTACACCTATGCTGAACATCGTCGTCAAGCCTTTCCTCTTCCTCTTTCGCTCTCTCTTCCTCTTTCTTCGCCAACATTTTATGCTTCCTCTTTCCTTTTCTTCTCTCTCTCACTTTCTCTCTTTTTTCCGTGTGCCCCTCCTCGGTCGCGGAACACGGTGCACATCGGTGTGTAAAGTCTTTTACGCCTGGCCTCCGTTTCCTCGTTGGTCTTTCGTGCTCTGTTTAGCCGGCAGTTCGTCAACGGGAGCTTCCGGCGTCTTGCATGGCCTCGACTAATCTCAAGATGACGTTAGAGGACGCACTCTTCTTGGCTCTCCCTCTTTTTCTGGGACGCAGACGCGAAACGACGCGGAAATTCGCGCGCGAGTTCCTCCTCGCGCTGGGACGTTCACCCTTACTGCCTCTATCTCTCTCTCTTTCTCTTTCTCTACTTTGCATAATTTTGCCTTAAATCTCGCATATACAACGGTGTTTCCTTGCCAGTCGTGTAAAATGAAAGTAGGTAAATGCACGCGGATTTATAAATAAGTCGAAGGCGTAGCAGTATCTTTTACGCAGAAGTCTCTTTTGTTAATAGAAAGATCATCGACAGCCAATTTCTTTTTTAGTCAATACAATTCTGTCTTGTGTATTATACTCCAAAAAAATGTTTTTCCTTCGAATCTTCATCGCAAGAGAAATTTTCACCTTACTCGAGCCGTACAAGTGAAAAATTAATCTATAATCTTCTTTTTCTTTTTCTTTTTTTTTTTTCAAAATCGATCAAGCGATCGTTCTTCGCTCTCAAGTTAGTACGACAGACTTCTCTCCTAAAGTTTGCATATTTTTTCTCTTCTCTCTTCTTCCCCAGTTCTTTCTTACGAAATTAATCTTCTGAATTATTGTTCTAACTCTAATTAATTTCGATCGATATTCAGATAGATGTGCACGGGCACACGAAGTATTGCGCGAGTAATTACAGTTTTTCTGAACGCGACTCGCGTTTCTTATCGGACCGATCGGCGAAGACTTTCGCGACGTCTTTTCGCCCGACGGTTCGCCTCCTCTCGGAATTTCCACTTTCCTTGAGAGCTTCGAGAATGCAGCTTAGGCCAGGGGAAGCGAAGAGGTAGCCTAGTTTCGGTTCGTGGTGAAGCGAGACACGAACTGGCACGATGCGCCACAGTCGATACACGTGTAACGCTTCTTCATATTTCCTTCTTGGACTCGGAAACGCGGTTTGAATATCGGTCGGGCCGAACTTCCGCCAGATCGATGGTTTCCAATTGCCGCTCGAAGAATTTCCAGCTTTTAGAGTCGGAGACTCTACCCTGAAAGGTAACAGTATTTTCTCTCGTTGTTTTGCGTTATTTCACGAGTAACGCTGCTTCTTCGCTTAGTCGATCTTTTTCATCAACTATTGTTTGAGCCACGTTGTTTCCTAGCTGTCTATTTTCTTGATATTTGATCTTCGATGGATATTCAAAGTTCACACTGAGATTACTTGACACAGTGTCAGTGTTTTATTAATTTCGTAAAAAAAAAAAAGGAGATCAAACAACTGTAGTTTGTTTTGACAATTATTTAGAAACTTTGCACGTAAGAACCAAAGCCAAAAGTATTGATCGACGTCTTCGTCTTGGAACAGGTTTTAATCAAACTCTGTTTGATAAAGTTTTTCGTAGGTAATCCAGTGTCTGGATGAAGAGAAACTACGAAAAAGACAGAAGAAAAGAAAAAGAAAGAAAACGAAGGAGAACGCGCTGACGATCGTGCTCGTATTTCAATCTCAAATTTATGAAATATTCTAATACATTACACATCCCTGTTACTTGGTATATGTCTTGCTAAAGAACGTTTCAACTAAGATCAACTTTCTTCATCCTTGCCTTGCTTTTCCACTTTCAAAGAAACTTGATATCCTTCAAACTCTAAATTTGATCCTTAAACAAACGAGAAGAAACTTGCATACGTATATTATATATATTTAAAGAAGATCTTTTAAAGAAAATCTCTGTTTTAACTTTTGTACTGTGCAAATCGTACGGAAACCGAAGCCTCTCGAGGTGTCTCCCGATGATTTCGAGAAAAAGAAAAAAAATGTTCATGCCGCATTTCCGGCGAGCGCGAACGCATCAGCAAACATGAAAGTTAAACGTGCCTTCGTTCAATTTTGCATTGAAGTTTCTCCCTCTGAAATATACATCATCACGTTCATAAAAGACATTTCAGTGTAGGTTACCAAGAGAAATGATACGTTCTTTTTGATCTTTTTTTTTTTTTTTTCGATGTGTCTTACTGTTGTAAGTGAAAATTTAAAAATTAAACTTGATCAGTTATTGAACGAAAACTGCGCCTAATGATTTAAAAAGCAATTTCCTAACGATTCCAAAGCAAATGCAACATACAGGGTGTTTCGTAACTTTTGAGACCCACTTCGGGAGCTGATTGTACGCCTGAAAATAATGAAAAATATATATCATATAAATATATGTCCTATCTGTCTTCGTTTATGAGATATAATGAATTTTCTGTTTTAATTACTTTTACAAAAGATGCTNATCAACGTACTTTGTACCTGTTAGTTTCCCATAAAGAAAAGAAGGTCTAATTAAAAATTTATCAATTATTCCTGCCCATGCGTTTAAACTACATTGATGTTGATGTCTTGAATGCACAATAACATGTGGGTTTTATTCATCCCAATTATGATTATTATGAAAATTGAATATACCATCCCTGGTAAAACTAGCTTACTAGAGTTTCCTCTGTTTATAAAATCCATTATATCTTATAAACGAAGACAGATAGGACATATATTTATATGATCTTTTTAGGTGCACAATCAGCTCCCGAAGTTAGGTTTGGGTTACGAAGTATGGCCACAAGTTACGAAACACCCTGTATAATTAAACGATAAATCTGAGAAAGGCACCGAAATTAAGAGAGACTGAGATGGAGAATGAAGAATCCTTCAGCGTCCTTTGTCCATCCTTCTTTCCTCTAGCCGTCGTCGAGAGATCTGAGAATTTTAAAAGCGTCTACGTCTCTGCGGCGCGAGGAAAAAAACACGCGGGGAAATCGTAACGCTTAACATTGCGACGCCTTCGTCGCGCAAGCTTCTCCGGCGTTATGTTTCCGGCGTTGTCGTCGACGACCGCGCATTTTTCTCCGGAAGTCGCGTCGATTACGACCGTTGCTCGCGAATAATGGCAGCAAAATGGAGGGAGAGTAAAAATCCTTGCGTCTCGCAAATGTAGGCAATCTCTCGCGGAATCTAGTATCGCGCATTATGTTTATTTCCTGCTAGTTACAGTACATGTATGCTATAAATAGGTCGAAGTACCTCAATCTTATACCTTGTACCTTAATCGAGGCAAAAGTTACCTGTGTTTACGGTGAATCATCTCTCGTGGTAATGAGAATTCGATGATGGTTGTCTTTCCCACTTCCAAATTACGAAGTCTATTTCTAAAATTATAAAATCCTCGTCATTTAGAATTCTGAGAAACCTTTGTACTACTATATTTATAAGTAGATTATGTTTGACGGAGAGGCTCGTTATTGAAACAAGTATCGTTGCAAATTGTTGCACAGATAATTATCCGTAAACTATACATATTTATCTGTTATGTTTGTTAACTTTTGTAGAAATATTCATGAATATGTCACTCCCTTCAAAATACATATATCAACAGGTATATTTTCAAAAATTTCATGTCGTCTGAAGGATTAATTTCGCAATATTCCCGGGCTGTTCGCCGCGAAGGCAGTCGCGTCGTCGGGAAACGAGAAATCCCGGTAAACGCAGGTAATTCTTGGCTCGACTAGTGTATCATACGCGAGAGACGCCGGAAGTTTCCATTTACACGGTGAACAACGTTTTTCAACGGCATTATCTTCACGTCATTAATTACAATTACTGGAGGAGTCGTGTGTTAATTAAATACGTTCATGCGAAACAATTGCACAGAGAGAGAGAGAGAGAGAGAGAGAGAGAGAGAGAGAGAGAGAGAGAGAGATAAATGAAGTTGTATATAGCAAAAGTAGTAAAAGCTCAGAGGAGGAGAGGATACTGCCGTCATCCGTATATAGGTCGGTCCAACAATTTTCACTCCTCCGCTGAGAAAGTTTCGACCCCCTAAACCGGGCTGGCTCGTCGTTTCGCCAATTTTCGATTCGTTGGAAAAATGAATTAAAACTTGCCCAAAGTTCTCTCTCGTGCAGTCTCTCTTTTTTTTTTTTTGCTCTCTGCTTCCATAATATGACAAAGAGAGAAAGACGAAACAAAGAATAGGATCCTCGTCGGAAGGTTTTCGAGTCGGCTGAAACTTTGACGTGATACGTTAATTAGAATATAGAAATGGGAGGAAAAAAAAAAAGGAAGAAATTTGGAGCAAAAATTGAAACAGGACAAAAGCATTTTCAACCGTTGCGTTATTCAATCTGACAGTGAGAATAAAAACACTTAATTATAAGTTTATATATTATATATAATTACTTCGTAATTAAATATTAATTACGAAATAATGAGGACACGCGAGAGAGTTTGTTATCGACGATAACGTGAAAGTGTTGTCTTAATTACAAGAGAATCTTTATCGATCAGTTTGTTCCTCTGCGAACCATTTTCTTCTCACCCTTTACCTCGCGTCGTCCTACGCGTTTTATTTTAAA